GAAGGTGATAATTTTACAAGGTATCGCTTTTTGTCTGTACAATATTCATTCCATAATCCATCTCTCGCAAAACTGTTGCTCATTGAAATCTCGGAAGTAGAAAGACCTTCCCAAGTAATGCTTTTGCATTGGTAATATATGAATTCGTTTGATTATTGCATACACATGGAAAAAAATGAGTTATTAATTAATAAAGGGAGAAGATGGAAATTAATAAAAACTCGCGTTCTTTCGAATGACCGAAAGACAATGTAGTCAAAGTAGTCATAATCTCCAGAAGTTGAAAATGAAGTTAATTTAGAAGACTTATGTAAAGAACTGCAAGCTTCTTTGCCATTTTTAACACTAGGTTTACGGGACCCGTCAATTTGATGGAATGCAAACTTCGAAAAGAAATACCGAAAAAAGCATAGCATTAATTTTAACCATTTTTGTATCGTAAATTAATCATTTCATCCAAAGAATTTGTACACGCAATTATTTTTTCCTAAGCCTTCTAATTATTAAAATTTGTATGTAGTGTACCTATCTCTACGAAACCCGTCAAATTGACGGACTAGCTAATGTCATAAACAATCCATATATATTTGCTTCGTTTCAGAGAGTGTAAGGCGAAGATGAGAGTGAAAGTTTGCATCGAAAGTGGAAAGATAGAAGGATCTTCGGATAGTGAAGAGGAAAACTTCTTGAAAGGGTGTCGTAGCAAGAAAAGGATGCCCATTCTTTCTAGTTCTAACTCCGAGGATGAGAGAACGAGCATTCTAATCATTTCCGTGATAATTTTTAAAAAAGGACTTTTTACTTATTAATAATTCATTTAAACGTAAAGCCTAGTGTTGTTTAATTCAGACTTAATTTTAATAAATCGAGTTTTTAAAGAAAATGCGTGTTTTCGTTTACCCGTCAATTTGACGGATGCTCGTAGAAACAGGTATATATAAAACGCCCGTAAACCTAGTGTTAAAAAAATAACAGAGTCAACTGTGTAGGATATTTTAAACGTATTAAATACCAATTTGTAAACTTTTCGCATTGAGACAAAAACAAGAAGTAGATATCGGATCGGGAAGCCAACGTAGAACTTTCGAAATAAAAAGATAATCGAGGAAACGTTCTTGGAGAAACAAACGGAATTCTCCAGCTTGGAATCATATCATGAAAAAATAAAGACTTTTTAATAAAAAGAACCGACATCAAAGAAAATATTACAAAGTAGAAAATAATTATGTACAAAATACTTATCTATAAACTACTGTAAATTTCTAAATATTTATTGCTTGGAATGTTTGAAGTTGACGCGAAAAAGAAACAAAGTGTATCGGTGTCTTCAATATTATATTTCGTTACCTTTTATTTCTTTTTTTGCACCGACTTCAAACTTTCCAAGCAATAAATACTTAGAAATCAACAGTAGTTAGTAAATAAGTAGTGTGTACGTAATTATTTTGTCCATTGTATTGTTTTTTTTAAATCGTTTTTCGTATTAAAAAGTTTTTATTTTTCCATTTTTAGTTGTTACTCCTTTCATTAAGGTTTCAAAATTTTAATTATATAAAATAAAAGGGTTCAGTTAAAAGGAAAAATAACCCAATTACGGTGCGGTTACTGTTAACAGTTCATGATTTCCGTTGTCTATCTTCGGATTCCATGATCGGATTATGATGAGACTTACATAAGACAACCTTGAAAGTACCCTTTTTGAGATAAAAAAAATTATTAAAATCAATTAACCAGGGGAAAATTTATGCGTGAACATACATAAAAAGAAATATACGGATTTAATTGCGAACCTCCTTCTTTTTTTAAGTCGTTTGAAAAGGCTCTTTACTATGTTCTCCTGTAAAATTTCTTAACTTCTTGTAATTTCACCACTAAGCGAACATCTGTTGCAATGGTTTTTCGCGTTTCCACGAACTAACCTTGAGTACTGCCAGGTTTCAGCATACTTTTAAAAGTCGAATTTACTACTGCATGAATGTAAACTCATGCGCCAAAAGTTTCCTTCAATAGTCGAACAAAGTGGTAACAATAAAGCACACCCAGAACCGACGTCAGATTGAAACACAACATTTCTGCTCCACGAAACTGCAGAAATGAAAATGTTAACTTTATCAGGAAACGATGGAAAGTTTCTGAATGCAATATTAATTGAATCGTGGTAGACCGATCATACTACTAGTGCAGCGGAAATATATTACCTGCAAGAGAACGAACATTAAGAATACAAAGTAACAAATTATCCGAATCCTTTAAAAGCAAAGAGTGTTTCTCTAAAGGGTCTTACTTTTCTTTCGAAATATTTGAAAATAATACGGAACAGTTGGTGAATGAGAAAACCTGGAAAATAGATATGGGCCCGTATAGAAACCGCTGTCTGAAACACCTTCGACTTACGATATACTTTACAATTAGTTTTCTCCTTTCTAGCCGGTAATTCCCAGAAGCTTTTATGAAATTTCAGATTTTCTGAAATATCCATTTTCGTTCTTTTTCACCTTTCTAAAGGTCACCCAAATTATTCTATTATTTGCAAAGGAGCTACTTGTCGTACAATAATCCCACAAGCATTTGTTTAAAACATTTTTCACCTCTAAGAAGATCTGTCTACTAAGAATCGGAACTAACAAAAGGAGGAAACATTTGGGTGTGTGCGCAGACGCAATAGGAGAGATGGAGATCAATTGTAACAATTTACATTTTGTATCTGTAATTGATCATAACGAGCTTTTACAATTTAAACTGGGTAAATATTTACCCTTTACATTACCATATTACCATATTACGATATTACCATATTAAACGAACCATCCTTTAAAAGATGGTTTACATATTAACGCGTTGGAAGTTAAAAAAAAATCAGTAATTTTATTTTCCGTACTGAATATCTTTGTTATAAGTACAGCTGGTGCAGGATGCGATTGTAACATTTTTCAGAGCAAATATAGCTCTGCTTATTAATTTTTCAAGTTGAATAAACCTTTAAGAAGAAATAACATAATTTGATAAACATATAAAAACACAACAGAATCTATTTCTTTGTGATCTTACGGAAATAAATATAAAATTTAAGACTTGTAAACGGTATACAAGTTGAACGATAAATGTCAAATTTATCTATTTTATTTTCCATTCAGCTCGTGCATTTCTCATGCGTACATAACATATTTTCACGTTTAAAAGGTTTGCAGCAAATGTTTTTTACCAAATTTTTCTGTGGGATCGTAAATGATCGGAGTCAGCTTGACTTCCTACAACTGTCCGCAATGTCTCCTGTCAAACAATTATTATAATTACAACTCTAAAGTCATTTCAATTTTAAATACATTAAACATATTACAAAGAACGGTCTATGCAACGCCGTGGCAGGAATAAATCAGTTTTATCTCCCGCAAATTTAATATAAACCAAAAATATTGAATTCATGAAAGTATCACTCACTTGTACCGTTTTACGAAAAATATCGATAACAACGGAACGCTTGATTGAGAAACTCGGCAGAGTTTCGTGCCAAATATATATATAGAGGCGCGAAACTAACCTAGTCATTATCTGTGATGTTTAGCCTGGCGCGTCAAACTGGACAACGAATGTCGTTTTCTAAACCTCTTGAATGAGTTATGTCAAGTTTAAGGTGAAGTGAAACCCTCTTCAAATCAGTCAATTCAAATACAACACTTTTTTTGAAGGGTATTAGACCAAACTGTCCTCAACTTTGATACATCACTCCTGACCATCTAAGAATTGTCCTGACACATTCAAAATTTGGATTTTTGGAAAAAATTTTTTAACTTAACTCAAACCAGAACCAAAATGGCGTCGAACTCTCATATTTCGATCAATATACACTTATCGAAGGCTCTGATATGAGAAACGAAAGGGTCAGGACAATTTTACGACAATTTAGAACACTCTGGTAATCGATAAACTCGCATTTGAGCGGGATATAGGCAAAAAAAGTATTGTATGCGCTTCTCTGCTAAAACGATGGCAATTAGAGCCCCAGAAAGCATGAATCCAGAGGATTTCTGGAGTTTTACTTCGATTTCTTGATATTTATTGTACGAAAACGACAAGTGAAGTATGCCATTTGGTACAATATCCAATATAATTCGACACAGCGGTCAATATAAAAACGAACGTCGGCAACGTAGGCATTTAGAAAAATCTTCTTTATCGACGTCGATCAAGTTCCTCGACGTGTTTCACTTCACCTTAACCAGGTCATCGAGATTGGACCATTTTTCTGCGTTTTTTAAGCTATGAACAAAAACCGAATGGTACATTTAATACAGAAATATGCAACTTTAAATATTTCACTTCGCCTGGGCTACTTGACATTTTCCTAACAAATATGAAATTTCTGCGAGACATTCATACCGTTAACGGAAACCTTCCACTGTGCACTTCCAAGCACTTTCCATGTTTAAAGAAAAAATGAATCACGTTTGTTACGATTGGCTCGTATTACAATTGACCTCAGTCTCCCCTGTTTGGTCGGCCAGTTCCCCCTCTCTGGTACCAACCTGATCACGTGACGGTAAACACTCGTGGTGGGGGAGAAACATCGAAGGGCGACATCATGCCCTTGAGATGCATCCCACACTTCGAGGACACCGATCCAAGGAAGGGCGCCGTTCGCTTCCTTTTTTAACGGTGAGGTCGTTCGACCACGTAGCGAAAAGAAAACTCACCCTCGACCAATGAAGTCCATCCAGTTGGCTCGGTAAGCCAATCACGTGCTGACCAATCCGACTTACTTTGCGTTCCTAAGGACATCGTGTACCCTGTGCACGCATCTCTTGCGCGCCACAATTAATACTTAACCAGCGCTTTGGTGTGCCTTTGTACGCACACGGCCGCGTCCGCGTTCGTGCACATACGCACACATACGTACGGATGTGATTACACATACCTATGCATTCGTGGGCGTACGACCGGGAAGACCTGGAACCGTTACAAACTTTTCAAGACCAGTCTCTGTTCACCTGTCGTACCGCAAACCTTGTTCTGTCGGAATCTACACTGATCTACTCTGATACTAAAGGAATCGCCTTAATAATTCTACTCCAACAACGTTTATAAATAATAGTTATAATTTAGAATCTCGTTATTAAGATCAGCATGAAGATCACCTTCTGCCATGTACTCGTCTTCTTGCTTCTCCGGGAGGTAAGTTAAGCGGAATTAGAGTGATTCTAAAATTAAACATGCAAGACCGGTTGAATGTTTATATCGACATGCCAAGTCATATTATTGTAAGCATGTGGATAAAATCAAAATCGGTCACAAATCCGCATATCATGCATAACATGGTTCAATGTGGCTTTTAAATATGAATCTACAAGTTTTTATTCCATTTCTTAACAAAGATAATGAGACAGTTTCCTGGTAAGTCTCCTCGAAAACGCGTGAAATACTTTACTTACCGGGGAATTAAATCAATTTAACAAGTATAAATCCCTTCTTAAGTGATTAAACATTTAATATTTGTTTTAAAAACCAGAGAGTACGCTTCTGAAAAATTTAGTTGAAGGCATACCTGTATTTAAATCGACAATTTTTAGAAGTTTTCAAAATACTTATTCAATTTCAAGCGTATTTGGGGCGTCAGAATTGTTAAATACCGCTAGACATAACACATTCCAAAAATTGGTCAAAATTATATTCTTTGTTTTCGAGGCAAACGTTTAGAATTTCTACTGATTTTATAAAGGAACGTGGGTTCCATATTAAATGCTCCAGCAGAAAATAATGGTCACCTGGGAGAACGTGGGAAGGAGTGTTAAAAACTCCTGGATTTTTCATTTAAGCAACCCAAATTATAATTTTTAGAACAATGGAAAAACAATACCTTTATGATATACTTATAACATTTACAATTTACTTTTCCTAGAATTTTCACTGTACTGATTCTCATCTGACTAAATGTCATTGACTCAAGAGCATTCAAGGCCGCATAGAAGGTTATTGACCTCGCATCCGCCTATTCTACATGAAAAATAATTATCCCGGAATATATCCGACTATTAACATCATTTGATATTGCTATTCATTAAAGTAAAGTACAACCCTCCCCAAACCAATCGATTCGAATAAAACTTTTTTTTAAAGAGTATTCCATTTAACTGGCTTAAATCTTAGGACATGACTCGAAAGTACCTAAGAAAAATCCTGACACTTTTAAAATTTGAATTTAAAAGGAAAAAGGATTTCACTCAGTCTAAACTAGGACTAAGATAATTAGTCGTGCTCAGATATTTCGATCAGTATTGAAGAATACAATTATTGAAGACTTAATGGAAGAAACAAAAGTGTCAGAAACGTTGCATAATTTAGAACCTTTTAGTGATAGAGATACGCGCATTTGAACGCGATAAAAGCAAAAGAGGTGTCTTGGGAACTTCTGTGCTAAGATGAAGGTAACACATATAGTGCATGCGATCTCAGAGTGAACATTTAGTTAGCACTGAATGCTGCAAAAGGCCCTGCAATCGATTAGAGTATATAAATCATGAATCCGGGGGATTTCAGTTTCACTTCGATCTCTTTATAATCATACTACTCAAACGACATATACAATATAACATTCAATACACTTTTCAATATTGTGTGCCATGGCTGTCCCCCACCCAGAACAAAATCTCTAATATACGTACATAGAATGTTTTCATATCTATGGGATGTTTCAGTGTATGAGAAGTTAAAAATATACGTATAATATATGTTCACGGAATATCCAAAATATTCTATTGGAATTTATATGTGCATTATATGTATTAAATCTGTTACTGCAACATAAAAATTTTCACTAATTAAATATGTTTAGTAAACGTATAATATATCTCTATTTAACAAGTACTTATATCTGAAGTATTACACATGCTAAAAACATCTAATAAATGTATGTTGTGTGTATATTAAAGGACGAAAAATTGACCTGTAACGAACGTAAAATATACATATATTTTAAGTACTTACATATACATTATTTTCCTATATGTTTGATATATGTATTATATACGTTACTAGAGCAACCACATTTTCACCAATGAAATACGTTTAGTAAACGTATAATATACTTCTGTTTAACGTGCATTTGTATGTAACGTATTACACCAGGGATCAGTAGTAGGACCAAACTTATTTATCATATACATTAATGATCTGCCAACATTTCCTCAAACAAAAACAGCCTCATTCGCAGATGATTCAGCCATATATTGTTACTTATTCAGTGCAGTGGTTGCAGCAAAACAGATTCAAAGTCACATGAATTTATTGGAACGGTACTATTCCCTGTGGAAAATAACGCTTAACGCTGCCAAGACCGAAGTTATTGTATTTGCTAAAAAATCTAAAGATGTGACCATATTCGAATCCATTACGGTACATGATCATAAAACAACACATACAAATTCGGTAAGATACTTAGGAATGCACTTAGATCCTAAGGTTCATAGGCACATAAAGGAAGCGTTATGAAAAGCGTACGGAATTCAGCGGAAACTTTACCCACTCATGATTAAGAACTCCCCACTTTCAACACCGAACAAGAAATTAATTTATAAAATGATAATGAGACCAATAATATTATATGCAGCACCCGTTTGGTGCAATGCGGCTCGAACTACGAGTACAATACATCACTTACAAGTATTTAAAAATAAGTGCCTCAGGTTAATACTAAACGCAAGTAGATACACTAGAATTACTTAACTTCATGAGACTGCTAATATTAAGTATATTAATGATGTCATCCATGAACTTGGAAACACATTCTACGAACATAGATTGAAGGGCAATGAGCTTATAGAACATATAGCTGATATAAGGAGCAATAATTTACCATTCAGATTCAAACATAGATTACCGTACCAAACCCTCAGAATTTTCAATACACCGAAAGACCAATAGCGCAACGTTAATATGACAATAATAAATAAGAACCACACAAAATACTAAGAAACATACATACAAGAACAAGTTCTTGTAAAATTGTCCTAAGAAGGTTTTTTCTAAATCGTTTACCTTCAACAACTCAATAATACCAATCAAGAAACACGGTGTCAAGTACAATCTCTGATCGGATATGTGCAAAACGTAGATTTAAGATTTAAGATTGCGAACGAACAGGGGTAGAGTTAGGTAAAGCTCACTTAGAGCAGACACTAGACTATATTGTATCTAGGATACTCGATGTATTTTTATAAATTGTTATAAAAATTATATTTGTATAAGTACCTCCTGTTAAAGAAACAAATTTAAAAGTAAAACTATAGGCAGTTACCTAAATAACTCGAGTTCGAATCCCAGCCACCACCATGGGAATTTATTAAGTGTCAGATATTTGTATATCCTACAGGTCCTTGAACAAATCGTGGTAAATTGTTTCTAAAAAAATGCATTTGGTGCAAAATAAATGATACTTTTTTTAATTATTCCACCTACATTTTGAATACGTCTTATATACGTATAAAATACGTATAATATCATATATGAAAAATATGTCTAGTATACGGCTGTTAAACTTTTGAAAATAGATATACCATCTGTTGAAATTTTTATTTACGTTTATTATACGTACATACGTTCTATGTCAGATATCTTATATACGTCTAGTATACATACATACGTCTACCATATATCTCGTTTACGTATAATATACATACTCATCCATGTATATTATATGGATGATGAATGTTCAAACATACGTATACTGTCTGCAGACGGCGCGGACATTTGTATATGCCACAGCACATTCCGTATGTTTTTGTATACATCTATTACACGTATATATGTTTATGCCAAATATCTTATATACGTATACTATATGTACTTGTTCTATGTCGGACATATATATATTAACGTCGATAACGTGGCGCGTTGATTTAGATTGTATATTTGAAGAATTTGTTTTTCCGACATCTATTAAGTTTCTCGACGGGTTCCGTTTCACCTTAACATTTGAACGCTACTAAAACCTATTCATATTATTTATTTAAATTATTCAGCTAAAGGAACTCAATACCCAAAATTATTACAGGCAATCGCTGGTGTGGCCAGGAAACCACCAGCCTTTTCAACCCCTGTGTTCACGGATTCCTATTTACCAGCTGGAATGCAGGTTTGTTCAATTGATCAGTACATACAAAAACGTTATTATTTATCCGCGGAAAATATCGTCAAACGGGGCCAATAGGAACGATTTTAAAATATTTGTGTTAATAACTTTTTTATTTTTTACCAAATTAGTTCCAATTTTAGAATCGGACCAATAACTGATCAATATTCTTGAATGCTGTTGATAAATAATTTATAGAGCGGACCATAATTTTGATATATATTCTTTTTATAGGTATAAAAAAATAGGTGAAAAAGGTTTACATATATATTCACGGGATATTTTTAGTATGCATATCGTAGATAATGTAAGTTTTCTATACTTATATCCTAATTTGTACGTCCACTATAAGTATATTATACTACATACGGTGCCTGGTAGTACATAATAATTTACACAGTGGCAAAAAATCATGACGTATGGTTACCAGCCAAAGAGGAAGTAAACAAAAAATCAAAGTATGGACGAAATTAAGTTTTATCAAGTTGGAATTTAGATATAAACATTAAGTATGTATGAAAAATGTTGGGTTACATGAGGTGTCTTTTTATTTTCTTAAACGTATTTTCAACGATATTGATTAACCTTTGACATATGTCTACTAGAGCTATAATATATTTTGTATGCGTCAAGAAATAAGTAAATATNATATATTCTTTAGATATTTTTTTAGGTGGACGATAGACGATATACATTTGCTTAACCTATAGACCTAATTTAGACGATTAATTTACGTATATTCCCCTTCATGGGTTGCCTGGGTGACTTCAAAACTAAGAATAATGTTCGAGAATTTTAAAATTAAATGCGGTTTGGACCGATTAATCCCTGTAACCCGATTCACCCCGTTTGACGGTACCAATAAATTACTTCAACATGCATTTAATATTATTGCTATTTATACCTGTACTTACATTTATTTTAATATTCGTAGGTGATATTCCACACCGTAGAGCAATTGAAACAACAGCAGTTCGAAGAATCACAACTATCTAATTTATCAACGCCTTCCACAAGTTCACATCTTCCTAGTCAAGAGCAAATCACCGTGCGACCATACACCCCAGCAATATCTGTGAACACCAATAAAACGACTGAAGAAACAATACTGGTCCATGTTATCACTGAGAATAACACATTTACCCAAGAAATGCCTGTTAAAAATCAAGAGAATCTCACAGGAAGTCAAGAAAGTTCTGTACCTGAAACAAAGATTCCGGTCACCGATCGAGAGATTATCGATCGAGAAACTTCATCCACCGAACAAGGAGTCTCACATGAGAAGACAGAACTTTGGGTTCCCTCTAGCGAGGATTCGGAGGTACATGAAGTTCCATCACCGGACCAAGGAATTCCAGCCAGCGATGAAGGAATTTTGGCGTTCGATCAAGGAACTCCGGCTGGTGACCAAGAAACTCCAGGTGTCAACCAAGAAACTCCAGAAATAAACGAAGAGGAAGCCGAGGTAAATTACGCGACGCCGGAAACCAATTTCGAGATCCCAGAGCAAAACCAAGAGATTCCTGAAATACTGCCAGAAATGAGCGAAGTTAACCCAGTGGAAAGCATTTCGGACTTGAAGGCCCCAGGAAGCACGCTAGTTCCGGAAGTGACGAGCTCGTCGAGTCGTAAAGAAATGGACGGGGCAGGAAGTATTGGAGACCACCCTTACGAGGATCAAGAACACTCTGTTCAGGATATAAAAAATAAATCGGCCGACGAGGAAGGCACTCAAGGGATTCCTAAAAAGCAAAGTCGTAAGAGAATCGAAGCGTCTCCTTTCGAGGCGATAAATTCAGAGGTGGACGGCCAAGATAAAGCGGACAATCTCGAGGAGGAAGAAGATGAAAACAGGTTATAATGATTGACATATTCTAAAATAGCCGCTGTGTACTTAGTAATCCCTCTTTATATTAGTCAAAGAACGAAATAACTATAAAAAATAATCCAACTCATACACGAACAAGGAAAAGTCACTTCTGTAGCGTTACTTTTCTTGTAAAAACATTTTAGAGTGAAAATTACTAAAGGACTAAATAGTCCTTTAGTAATTTTTCGTAATAAAACTCCGTTTTAGGAGGAACAATATCAAGGAAAACAAATCATTTTAGTATAATTGCAAAAGATATACATGCAACCTTTTAAACGTTAAAACCAAAGATTTGTTAATGCCAGGAATAATGAACTAAAAATCGTTATATCGTAAATTGTATACTACTCGGCGAAATTTCATGCTTGGCATCTCCATTTAAGTCAACCTGAACGATATTGATATTACACGTCCGAGGTTGTAGACACAACACTGACAGAAAACTGTTTTTGGTGAACCATGATTACACTTGTTTAAAATTATTCTTATTCTTGCTAAATCACGTTCCGATCTCCCCTGAATGAGAAAAGTAATATTATGATATTGAATATTTAAACCTGCTCCTCGCGCAGTTGAAAATAAGATGTTTGACTTAAAAAATGATGGTAATTATTTTACCCACTCGATATTTTGATTCCATTTAATGTGGCAGACCTGAAGATATGTACTTTTCAAGGAACGATATATTGGGTTGTTCGGAAAATAATTTCGTTTTTTTTTTATGAAAAGGAAAGACGATTTTTTTACAGCGAATAAATATTTTATTGAATTATATATCGTCCATCCCGGTCCAATACCTTTTGCCATCTTTCTGGCAGTAGCATGATTCCACGCTCATAAAATGTTTGGTTTTTGCTGTCAAAAAACTGATCCAGGTGATTTTTGACCTCCTCATTTGAAGGAAAGGTTTTACCGTCTACAAAATTTTGTAGAGACCGAAACAAGTAATAATCGGAAGGTGCCAGATCTGGAGAATATGGTGAGTGTGGCAGTATATCCCATCCAAGCTGTAGAAGCTTTTGGAGAGTTAAGAAACTTGTATGAGGTCTCGCATTATCTTGGTGAAACACTACACCTTTTCTATTGATCAATGCTGGTCTCTTCTGTTTAAGTGAATCATTCAAATTGTCCAGCTGGTGACAGTACACTTCAGAATTGATCGTTGTGTTGTTCGGTAGAATCTAAAAAAAAAACGATTCCTTTGAAATCCCACCAAACAGATACCATCACCTTTTTTGATGAATTTCGGCTTCGAAGTTCTTTGAGCCGGTTCATCTTTTTTACTCCATGACCTCTTGCGTGTAACATTGTCGTAGACAACCCATTTCTCGTCCCCAGGGATGATGCGCTTAAAAAATGGATCATTTTCTTGACGTTTGAGAAGCAAATCACAGACGTCAATGCGATGACACAAATTTCTTTCCGTAAGAACACGAGGAATCCATATGTCGAGCTTTGAGACTAAACCTAGGCGTTTCAAATGATCACGAACGGTCGAATTCGATAAATTTAATCTCTCAGCGATTTCACGAGTTGTTATTCGCCGGTTTGCATCAATTAATGCCTTTATTGTGTTTTCATCAGCTTTAAGTGGCCTTCCAGAACGTGGTGCATCTTCGATATCAAAATTGCCGGATCGAAATTTTGCAAACCAGTTTTGACCCTGGCGTTCTGTCAATACATCTTCTCCATACACGTCGGATAATGTTTTTCTTGCTTGAACAGCATTTTTACCTTTTCGATAGTAAAAAAGTAAAATATGCCGAAAATGCCGTTTTTCACTTTCCACATTTGAAAAGGTACCAACCAAAAACTACTGCGTTGAATCAATCAAACTTTTTCACAAGCAAGCTTTGCTAGATCAGCTGTCAAAATATATAGTGATTATGCGGCTTAAGTGTGAAGTTGGCCGTGAAAAAAAAAATGAAGTCCTCCGTTGGGAAACAACGAAATTACTTTCCGAACAACCCAATAGTAAGGTAACATTCTACAAGACTTTGTGTATAAATAATGAAAAGCGACCTTTATTGTTGTCAGGTTCTCCCAGCTGGGCGAAAAAGTGGTTCAGGTACCTCGTCCAAGTTTAACCAACTATTTAAAGCGAACAAATGTACCGCTGAAGGCCTCGCTTCAACAATTGGCAAGTCTCTATGACGCCCTCAGCAAGGATGCCAGGAAACAAGGATTCGCGAAATACGCAGGATACTCGGATGATGTCATGAAATTCCTAGAAAGTTCATCAGAGGGTGGAGTTGGACCACAGTTGAAGAGAATCCTAACCAAGATCACTGAAAAGCAAGAATTGACTAGAGAAGACGCCAAGATGAAGACTGGGGTGGTTCTTCGAGATCTCGATGATCCTGGCAGCATTTTGAATAGGGATTTAAAACTCGTGGTGCCCTTACGTTTTATGCCTTGAAGGGTAATTAAGAGATTAAATTTGAGAAAAACACTAAAAGTATGTGAGAAGTATATGCGCATAGGCGCATAATTAACATTTTTATAGAAAGGGTGTTCGTTTCTACAGTTAAGAATGTAGAAATCTGTTCAATATCCAACGCGAAATGCTTTGACATTTTGAGAAAGATCAAAAAGGATTTCCTATCTATTTTGTGAAATGATTAAAAAGTCGTTTAATTTTATTATATATATATTTGAATAAATAATTGCGAAATGTACAGTCACATCACACAGCATTTGTCATGTGGGTCTTTTCCAGAATAACTATAAATTATGTTTATACAAAATTGTTTTTATAAGAAATCATAAAAGTAAAGAAAATTTATAAGTATTTCTCTCGATTTTGTAATGTATGAGTTTAATGGGATAATATTGTCCTGTAATTTTGATGTATATGTACTTATGTATAAATAGTGGCTGTTTATATCTCTATAAATAGTGATTAGTTTACTGAATAAATTGTAATCGAAAAAAATAAATGAATATCCATAAACATTTAATTTAAATCAAATTAGTAGCTAAATGCAGCAAATTTCAAATTTAGAGTTCGCTACTGTTATTCTATTAAATTCACGTTAGTAATAATAATTTGAAGTGACTTAAAAATCATAAACTTATTTTGTACAAAAATTATAAATGTACGTTATAATGCGAAATTTGCATGATCTACTACTATTTGTTTTTTTGTTTCTTTATTTATTTTTATATTGCAACTATTTTAGTAAAAAATATATAAAATACTGCGTCGCATTTTAATTGTTCTTAATTTCATTCTATCAAAATTTTAACGCTTTCATTGAATAGCGTGCAACAGTAGATTCTTATATGTAGGCCAATGAACTGTTCATGGTCACAGTGCTAAAGGATGTCAGTCATCCATATCACGCATCATACATATCAATCATTCTTATTTGTGCGACTAATAAACAAGAAAGTACTTACAGTAAACATTCCTAAAAATATGTATGCCGTTATGATCGAGAAATGATTAAACGGTCAAATATCTCATTATTCATACGTGACTACTATTGTTCGGACTGCACATCGAATTTGTGGTTTTATGCTTAAACTTTTCTGAGAAGACCATACCAAACTTTTTCCACACAAAACCTCATTGTTCGACAAGTCCGTATGACTCACTCATAAAAATTGCAAATATACTACGTCAAGAAAATATAAAACTACAATATAACTGCCTAATATAATTTTTTTGGCAATATTTTACGTATATTGATTCTCATTTCTATATAATTATATTTTGGATATTCCTAGCTCTTCAAACTTGTACGTACACTTACATAATCTTAAAAACAGTAACGACGATAAATGCAGTGTAAACAATACGTAATTTAATTTTTATTAAAAAAGTAAATCCTTAACAGATTTTACACAAGGTAAACAATTAAAGAAACTATAAATTCTTTCCAAAGTTTTAATACTTTTTGTTGATGCGTCTAAATATCCTATAAAACGAACGTTTTCGAACGCAGATGACAATTTTCCTGAGAAAAATAAAGCATTACATTTTTCTGTTGGTAATGCTTAGGGCGATAAAAATTCTATGGGAACGACTTATTATTTATAATCTTTAGAAGCTTATGCCATCAAGTCGAGGAGCTAAATTACGTGCGGTGACTTCAAATTCATTGAGTAATCCTGAGCCAATGATTTTGCCCGTACACATTGTCGTAGGTATACGCAATTGGGTGCACCTTACTGTGAATTAATCATAGAATGTGGTTTTACGTTATTACGCCTCTGAGCTGCACGTACCTATAAATTGGTTTTGAAATAAAAAAGTCCTTCAGTCGATTCGTGAAGCAACTGTAAGAAAGAACGGTCAAGTGAACCTCCTAAGTTAAGACTTCCAATTGTCCATGTTCGTTTTCTGAAATAACCACTTGTGATTTTCCGAAATAAACATGAAAACTGCCTTGATCGGGTGCTACATGTTCTGCGTGAGTATTAATTTCGAATTTTCTTTACTAATTGAAAGCATTTCTTCTTTAACGAAAGATAAGTAATAATTCATATTTAATTATAATAGATTATACTCCAATTTCGGTATAATTAAAAGGGACAGCCATCTCTTACACGATACGAAATATGAAAAACATTGCAGTATCTACATTATTGTCAAAATTCGACAATATTCTATGTTGTCGAATTGATTGATTTGTGAGAAGAAAACATAATTTTAATTATCGTAAGAGTGATATTGAAAGCCAACCCTAGTAGCATAGAATAATTTCTAAATATTTCTTTGTAATCTTTGCTAAATATCTCAAGCGACAGATTTTTTAAGATTTCTTGTAGATTTCTTTCGAAGATATTTGAAATATTTGTTGAAAATCTGAATGACATATTTAGTCTCAATAATTTATAAACATAGAGAAATATTTTTTTAACTTATTAACGTAATAAAAATACATTTTTTACTTAACGACTATTATCGGACATTTCGAATGGTATCAAAAAACACGAGAAACTGTTGTAATATTTTAGTTCCGCTATTTCATTATAAGAAAAAACGCGTGATTTTGATTTTAAATATTTTTAAAGCGTTTATAATGTATTCGGCAGATAATATTTAAAATATACTTGTATTAAAATGAAACGAAATGTTTTGTATATCTGGTAGAAAAATATTATGAAAACACATCGAGCTAATATTATATAAATATAATAGGGATAATATTCTAAAGTAAACGTTTTGCAAATGTTTCAAATTTCGTTAAATATATAGATAATATAGGACAAATATTTTGTGCTACTAGGGAAGAAGCATTGATATTTACAAACTACATAATAAATTTAAATTAAACGTATACTTTCAAAGTGAGCAATATCTCGTTAAACATGAAATGTAAGACAGGCATCCATCCCTAATTAAGCATTAGTCATTACCATTAATAAGGAAACATACGAATTATTGCCCCAATATTCGTCACCTTAAGGTGATATGAAAGGGTCATTCTATGTATCTATAGGGATGTATAAAAACCTGAAAATATTTATAAAACTTTTCTCCAAACTGGATGCACCGAATTATCTGAAACTTCAACACGTTATTATGGCGGCCCTAAGGAAGAACGCCATGTTCGTAAAAGTTCATTATTCGAAAAGAAATGTCTTTTTTTGGTTCTTGTCCGAGATAAATACAAATTTTTTTCGAAAAATTGAAATTTCCCGAGCATCGCGTTCTTCCTTAGAGCCTCCATAATCTCGTGATAAAGTGTCAAATGATTCGGTACACCAAATTTGGACAAAAGTTTTATAAACATTTTGACTTTTTGGTATGTATATATAACACTTTCATAACATCTTAAGTGCTACTTTGAAATTTTTAAACCAAGTGGAATATTTTTTTTTAACTACTTGTACTCCATCCATTTTTAAACACATATATATACATACCTGCATATAAGAAAATCGCCATTTACAATCACTCTCACGGATACGTGCGTATTTTTTCTAAAAAAGTATGAAAATGTATTAATATACTGAGTTTTGCTCACTTTAGGAAAGTGACGCGACTTGTAATAAAAAATATATAAAATACTGCGTCGCATTTTAATTGCAGCCACATCTAAATATTATACAGATGTCTGGGATTACCGATACTAATAATTTTAAACATATTCCGCAGATTCTCCTGATGGGAGCGCAGAGCAGACCGGAGATCACCAGGCTGTTTCCTGTGAAGGAATTAATCGCTTACCACGAACAAACAAATAATACCAAACCACTGGATAAACTGCTGGGAAAATTGAGGACTACCTACAACTTTGTTTTCCGCAAGCCGGAAAATACCAGCAATATAGAAAAAATTTTGAAGAAAGATGCCCCAGATCCATACCTGGCAGCCATTCGATTGATCTGGGCAAACACGGGTGCATCTGCAGCGAAAAATTTGCCTGGCTTAAAACGGATAGAAAATAAATCCTTTAAGGAGGATTTAACCGAGGCAAACATATTACCTACTGCCCATGGCACATCTAAAGAAACAACACCTACAATATCGAACGACGACTGGCTGAATGATCTAGAACCTTTGGAGCCCCTTGAAATTCAGGATGATATTGACGAAGATGTAGAAACTGTTAACATGCCCCCTACTTTTGAGCTCCCAGTAACTTTAGGTCGCCATCTTTTAGAATGGCTCAGTTCTCTCCTAGGCCTCACTTTCGGTGTTTATACCAAAGTTTCCGAAGCCTTAAAAAGTTCATAAGACAAATCCAAGATATTTCCAGATATCGTTGAAGGGTTTTAATTCTGGTATTCCGTAGGTGCATTTCTTAAGGACTTCGCTAGAGTTCAAAAGTTTTACGAGTCCTCATAAAATGTCTGAGTTTGTAAAGCAGTGAAACCATTTTACGAAACCAACATATTTATAGCACCAGGACTGAAACTTATATATGTTCTTAGTTTCATATTCCTTTGAAAATAGAAGTAACCATAAAAGATAAGTTAAAATAAGTTTTACGTATAAAATATTCCACGGCATAATGCATATGAAATTCGGTGCGTCAGGCAACAAAGGAGTTAAAAAGATAAGTTTCTGCAGTACAATGTCTATGCCAGAACTTAAAAGTGATCAAGTTCTTATTATGCAAACACGTTTTCATGATATTCGAGCTGATGTAATGATTCAAGAAAATTGTAGTATTATAGGTTTGTAATAATAACCTGCCCTGCCTTTTAACTGTTATTGTAAACAATTTTAGGCAATTGCCAAATGGATTTTCATGCTGTTCGATAGTGAACTGCTCGATATTCAATATTTTTGTCAAATCCATGCTTTGTAATTTTGTAACTTTGTAATGCTGAAAATAAATTTTTAAAACTGCTAAGATCTTTAAATTTAAATGCCTAGAAAAATTGAAAGATCAATGACTTAACATTTTTTCAGCATGCGCTGTAACACACAAGATATTGGACTTACATCTGACCCGCTGAAGTTCTGGAAACTTGAAAAATATTAATATTATCGCTCTTAACGTAACTTTGATCATAACGTGAACAACAGTGCAGATTTTCACTACATTTATTTTATTCAAAAATATCTCGGTCTGAAAAATACATGTCACTTTTTTTTTTTTGGCAATCAGTACATATCGTACATAACAATAGTTTTGTTCAGCAAAACATTTCGTAAATGCACGAGCACTGCAATAATGGCTATTTAAGAGGGAACGGAAGTAACTGGAAACCTCCCTTTTAAGATAAACCTGAATGAGACGCGTACAAATATGGTCTCCGTAGAGAAACGTCAGCTTGTAGATAAAACTAAACGATATCGAAGAGAGTGAGAAACACAGTGAAATACTGGCATTTATATACGCGTAAAGTCTTTGGTTCTATCATTATGCGACGCGCTTCGTGGTGTTACCACTTGCACGAATAAATTATAGATGAAGGACGTCCAAAAGACTCTTTACAATGATTTTCCATACGCATCTGACATGCATTCGTTACAGTACATAGGCATTCTTTCAAATGCCTAAAATTCAAATTCAGGACATAACAAACGCATTACGATAACGCGCCTGAGTTTTTAAAATTTATACAATTTTGCCCCTATTTTTACATAAATGCTGTAAAAAAGGAATAAACCTTATAGATAGCTCTCATAGGTCACGATCAAGGGAAACCTCATTGAACTTGGAAAATGTGATTTTCTCGTTAAAAAAAAAAGATTATATAAGTATTACAACTATTAACACTTAGAGTTCGATATACACTACTTTTTCACAAGTATGATATCTTGTCTCGCCAAAATATTTCTTCAGATTACATCCCGCATTAAATTTGTACAACTAATGTACCAATGATTCTGTACCGTTGGTAGGGTTAAGAAATAAAAATTGAACAAGGCATTGAGATCAGGTTCACGAAAAAAAGGAAGTTTTCACTTTTCCAAAGTTTCACTGAAGTGTCCCTTTAATGTTGGCACCGCGAGTTATTTACGAGGTACAAAAACTGCATATAGATACTCCCTACACACCTGGAATTGGCACGCACCATTCATAAAATTGCTTAAGTATCAATTGAATAGTGCGCCAGCACGCATGACATAGTGCGACTTAAAGAAAGAAATCGAGAGAGATTAGGTATATCTATTTACAAATATGTCTGACGGATCAGGTCTTCTCGTATGCTGACAGCATACTTACAACATTCATATGGCAGATCTGAGCAACTAGTTCACAAAACTCATGACAGATCTTGTCTTTCGAGTTTCTATTAAAAATTAGTACTGGAAGTTCGATGAGTCATTGGCATAAGTACTCTCGACACACCAGTTATCGCACAGCATTCGCACTCTCCTAAACAATCACAGAGTGCAGAAATGAGTAAAAAGTACTGCTCTTACTAAATTAAAAAAATCTTACGTAAAATGTTTCTTCCCATGATAATAATTCTACAAGTATTTTAAACATTGCGAATCTAATATCCTTAAATAAAATCTAAGTTTAGTCAATCTCGTTGAGTCACCAAACAGCTGTAGTCAACGTCGTGTATTAAAGAAATCTCAAGGTGTCATATATCGTCGACTACGCGTTTACATTAATAGATTTTTACAAAGGAAATCGTATTTAACGTGTTACCATTCGCGAGCAGATCAAAGTATTACTGGCTTTACATTCAATTTACAATATTAATATTAATATTGTGACTGTAGACTAGATTCATTCAAAAACTATTAATTCTTTAAAACTAGTCTAACGATAGTCTAATATATTCTGTGATGCGTGGACAGTCCGTAGTACTTAAAGTAATCTTATTGTTCGCCGTTGTTACACGATCAAGGCTATCCTGACCTTTTAGTACCAAAAGGATCATAATTATTTCGTGGCACAAGGAAAATTACCATTTGACGATCAATGGAGCAATGAACGCGTACCTGATCACAGCCAAAGGTACAGTCGTTTCTTGCATAAAATTTCGAGATCTTGTTAATCGAAACTCTAGTCGTAAGGCAATATGTACCGCCCACTCGTGATCATTCTTAAAGCTAAGTAAGAAAATCTTATTAGTTTCACACGCGCCGTGTGCTGGCAATTGAACATGAGCTCAGCTTTGATTCTGGTAACAGCGAGCAAAAAGAGTGTGCTTAAATATTTCTAAAATTTTGGAAGATTCTTAAGTGTATGTCTCACAACATATTCAACCCCTTAAAAGAGCCATCAAAACCTGCCGAATTAACTACATAATTTTGCTCGCTACCGTCTTATTGCTTTGGGAATTTATACGTTTAACCTAAAGCTAAGACGGCATAAGATACCGCGCATTTTGCGGTAAGATTTCATTCATATTAACAGCTTGCTGCTGAATTATCGCTCCTTCTTTCATCGCTTGTTCCTTAAACGCTGAAAAGGTGTGTATCAAGTTTGGATCCTTCTGTAGACTTTGAATGTGCTGAAGAATGTTTGAATCTTGCTTCACGAAGCTGCCATCTTTTAAAACGAAATTCATTTCTTGTTTAGGTATTACCGCCATCTCCGATAATTTCTCAAAAGCCTCTTTATTATCAGCAAAGAGTGCATCTTTCTTTGCTTTGGTCCTCCTAATACCAAGATGAGTTTGCGTGTGCTTATTTAGATGATCTTTTCTTGAAAACGCCTTTTGACATACCGAACATGAGAAATTTTTGTCTCCAGAATGTATAACGTAATGCCTAGTAAGATGCTCATTACGTTTAAATGCTTTCTGACAAACGGGGCACTTGAATGGCCGTTCATCGGAATGACCACGCATATGTTGATCCAAATGCTCTTTTCTTTTCAACATAGCTCCACATTCTTTACATTGATATTTCCTTTCCTGTAATAAAATTTACGTTATGTATCACTCACATAATAATGATAAAAAATTATTATGAATATTAAACAATAAAAATTCAATTACCTGTATGTGACCTTGAATGTGCTGCTCGATGTCCCCTTTATCGGCAAAAGCAAGATTACATTCAGGACAGCAATACAATGTAGAACCATCTAAGGCAACGGTAATTTTAATTTCACCAGTTTTCGCTCTAAATTTCATCTTCTTCTCTGTCTTCGGTGAGTCTGTTTGTATTTGTTGCTCTACTTTAATTGTTTGTACACTGGCGTCAGATTCTTGCTGATTATCAATCTGAGCATTCAACTCATTAGGATTGATTGCAATCATCATCTGATCAGAATTCATAAAATGATTCCCATTTTGCATTTGAACATTTCTAAACACTGGAACACTAGGAATATTAAGTATATTCTGTGACTGTTCCAACTTTTGCTCTTCCTCTAATTTTTCTTTTTTGACCTGTTCAGTCTGTAACTTAATTAATTGCTGCAACGTTAAGGGAAGTGTAGTTGCTTGCAACTTTTGTAAATATTCAGCCATTGCTACACCCTGCTGCTGCAGATTTATATGAGATCCCTGTAGGAAAGCATACACATATACAATTACAAGTCACAAATTAACTTATTGCAAAGTTGAATTATTTAATCCTTACTGTCGTAGCAGGCCCACTATCGGAATCATTCCTGATTTCCATATCTTCTTTAACATCAGATTGCGATGTTGCTGGTAAATACACATTAGGTATGATTCTTACAGGTAAACTATTTGGCTGAACGCTGAGTATCGTGGCATTATTTTGACTATAATTTGGAATGTTGATGGCTTGTATACCCTCCTTCCCACACAGTTGCATCAAAGTACTGGGATCGGGCCATGCTAGTATCGTTCCAGGATATTTGTTTTGAGGATTCACCTATACGGAAGCAATGCATCAAATGTACTTAGCAAATCTAATCATCGCCTACACATTCTAGAGAAGTACTCAGTAATAAAAGAATGTTAAAAAATATACCTACCAAAATTTGTTGTTTCTGTTGATTGGATCCCACCGCGGTAGTATAAATAGCACCCTGTGCACTATGCACCTGCAGGGCGCCGCTACTGGTAAATCCCGCGTTGGATACCGAACCTGACCTGGATGTCAGCTCGGAAAATTGAGGGAGCGATCCCTGGACTCCATGATCATCGGAAAAGTTCATTTTACCTCGTAGGAACGTTGAACAACCGCCTTTTCCAGGCACAATGATCGTTAGCGTTTATAACCTCAAACCGACCGTTAGGCTAGAGACGCAATTACTTATCACTCCAATAAAACTATCTCCTTTACAATCATCATATTCACATTTTTATCCCACTAATCTGCTGTTAAACTGGTGTCAAAATAATACACTGCAGCAAAAATAGAGGTAATCCTAATTAAATTAAATTTACTCCAATCCTGAGCGCATTCTAACGTACGCCGAGCTTGAGTGTCGATCCAACATGGCGGCACTAAACTACTATTACCGCTTCTGAATTACCGCGTCTTCCAACGGTCAAATTTTAGATGAAAATAAACATCCACAATTTCTCCTTTATTTATAAAAGTATTGATTTATCACATGAGATAGAGAAAATGTAATGCATTATTGAATTATAAACTTACAATCGCGGGAAGAAACGCGCGTAGAAAAACCGGCGTTCGGATTGTGGTAACACTGTTAAGTTTTTGTTTACAGAGGACGCTCGTCAAATTTAGACTTATTTCATGAACGAGGATACAATTTAGTGGAAATATATGGCCATATAACGTTTATGGAACGTTGAAATTTTCATTAAGCTTGCAAGTGCAAGAATGAGAAGTACCGCAGCGTGAAGATATTTGAGGTAAGAGGCGCTCATTCATTGTGAGGTTAGATTCACTAAATGCCGAATTCTTTATAAATTATGAATGAAAATGGTGATAATTATTACATTTTACGGAGACAATTGATGCCTGTAATGTCCTATAAAAATAACTTAGAATTACGTTACGATTTTATTACGCATATTTCTTGAGGTATAATCTGATTCGAGTAGTAGATAGCACATCGGACTTCCGGTATTTTAAAATTGTTTATACATCGATATTGACATGTCGAATAAAAAAAAAAACACCAAACTGTAATCATTTTACAATAAATAATGCTGCTAACACTAAAAGAATCGCATTATTGCAAATTAAATGTACTTAAATAGTTATATTAATCTCATTAGATGCAAAATTTAAATAATATTTTTAATCAGAAATATTTCATACTCTTGTAGTCTTACATTAGATACAATTACTATATTTGTATTTCAATAGCAAGAATATAACTTCTTTATTGCATTAATTACTTGTTAACTCTCTATTTCAGATGATTCAGAACTAAACAGAAATAAACCAAATTGTTATATGAAATATAATTTGCTAGATAAAATTATACAACTTCTCTGTATAAAAAACATAATTTCACATAAAGTCTCAGAAGTTATTTATGCATTAGACATTAGAGTGTACATTGAGATATAACGCAATACAATAAATTAGTAATGAAGTAAATGTTATTAGTGTTCTAGAAATATATAAAAATTTACACAAATTCTTCCAAATATTTGTAACCATGTACTGAAATTTACTTTAAAATAATTTCAAAATTACAGCGATGATAGTGCATATAAGAGATCTGTTCATCATGTTCATTGAAATATTTTCAATTAAACACTGAAAATATGAATTAATTGATTTTAGTAAATGTTATTAGTTTTTACTGTTATTAGTCTATGGAATTCTCTTTCACACAAAGAATTGAAAATTTACGAAGAAGAGGCGATATTTTATTTGAAGAATCCAGAGAGAATTTAAAGAACATCAATGACGCTGAGCAGGTCATAAATTTAAATGATATGTAAGAATCAAATTTTCACATGTATTTTTCAATGTTTTCATATTTGTTTTACACAATGTTTCATATAAATTTATGTAACTTCTAATACTGTATTTGTAGATCCCGTTCCCAGGACGTTTTATTAAACATAGGTTCTGACGTTTGGCAAATGAGAAATGACTCCAGTGGAGTAAAGGGAGTTTTGTGTCCAGATTATTTTTGGGCATCGCCAACATATAGATCTGCCTCAGCCCCTGATATGACTTCAGTTGGACGAGTACTTATAGCATCAACAAAAAGACATTCAAGGTCCATTCTTTTTAGAAGGCCCGTTAAAGAGTGCTATTGTTGTTACGATACTAGAAAAGTACATGGCAGATCCTCAAAGCCAAAACATATTCCTCAGACACAAAATAATCATTTCTCTTGCTGTTGTGACGTGCCAATCGAAGTAAATAACCAAACAAACAGTAAATGTATTGGTAAGAATGAACTGAGACTTGATAATGGAGATTATGTATCTCCACCAATCAGTTGTGAGACATATAGACGAGTTCAAAAAATAAATTATACACCTAGATCTTATTTCCTGCGTAATGTTCAAAGCAAAGTCACATCCTTACATTCTGATTCGTGTAGACTTCATTCAGATACGTGCTTACGAACACTATGTCAATCAATCAACAAACCTGAATTAGTCACAGATCGATACACAGCAGGTTGTTTGTTGTCAGAAGATTCTCTTGAAAGGACATTAAATGAGAAATCTCAGGAATCAAAGTCAGTGATATGTGATACATTAAAACCTTGCAAAAGGGATAGAAAAGAAATTTCTACATCCAAACACTGTATATTTGGAAATAAGGATACAAAAATTACTTCTGAAAAAGAACCTTCATCAAAACATAGTACATGGGCGAGTAGAAATACTAAAGTCTATTGGCAAAGAGAAGTCCCAACAAGAGGGACAGTTACGAATAAAGAGCTTAGTTCTGATAAGTCCTCGACAGTCAAACCTTTAGCAAAGAAAACAATAGTCTCAAAAAAATCATTGACTGACGAAGAAAACTCTTTAAAAAAAAAGAAATCGGTATGCTTATCAGACATTGATCAATCATATTGTTGCTGTCGATTACATAAAGGACAAAAACATTGTCCTAAAGAAGCAGATCGAATTCATACATGCGATCGATGTTGTCGTGACAGATACAAAAATCATATTCCTGACGAAGGGGAAGAGCCACAAGATGGTTTTGAAAAAGTGAAAGAGTTGAATAAATTTCGCGAACAGAATTATTTTGATACTCATGGTTCTAATTACACACTGCTGGATCCTCGATCTTCTGGATCTCTTCAATGTTATGAATTGAATGACAGGCTATTTCCTGAATTCTCTGGAAAAGTTCACAGAGATGACTTAGTTGTAACAATACCACCTTGTGCTACAAAGCAAAGAAAACGCATTCATTATTTTCCTCGAAGTATTATTAAGCAAGAAAAGGATGTGTATGTAGAAGGTTACAAAAAGAAAAGGCGTTTTCATAGCTGTCCCTTAACTGGACATGCGATTGATATGAAAGAACTTAAAGTGCCACATCCTTCAGACAGTCTAGCTCTTAAATACCAAAAAGGTGTTCCATAAATGTTTTGATATCTTTATTAATTTTTACAACATAAGCATGGGATATTTTATCTCCCTGATACATATGGAGAATTTACCAAGGAATATATCTTTTATAATATATACTTAATTAACTTATAATAGAAGCCCTGCTTACACCGAAGGACACTACCGTATATTTCCATCTTTTGGATATAATAATTTTACATTAATATATTCATTCTTAGAAATTTATGAGTATGCACTACTATTTATTATGCACATTATGCGTTAAAGTATACCAAATTATCAGAAAAAAATGTTTTTCTAATAAAATACAAATTATGACTGTATTTTAATTTATTAAATTCTTAGTAAATGTAAACTATCTATATAATAAGTGTGATATCAGTTTTTATCGTAAATATATAAAATGTATATAATACTTTATGTGTCTACATGGTATATTATTTACATGTGATTATAATTTCAATTTTCCTGCAGTAAATAATTTATATTTAAGTACTATTTACCTATCATAAATAATTAATGTAATACCACACAAGATTAATATATTTGATCAAACTAAGGGTTAGGGGACCCACGGTTCACCTTGACATTGACACATCAAGGTCATTCTCTTGAGCGACCTCCACAAGGTTATAGCTGTCGCTTGTTGTTTAATAAAAAAATTGTTAACAAAATAATTTCGATGAATTGATCATATGTTTTCGACACTACTGAAAAAAAGACACTGAAAACAAGATTGCTTGACTAAAACAAACGTGTACAGGGTGTAACAGAACTGGTAGTTACGGTTTATAAGCGTTACCCTTGTTGATAAGGGAATTGAAAAGTCCTGTACCATTTTTTCCTACGGTGCATAAATTTCCTGTAATGACTAATTGAAGCACAGCCATTTAATCGCTGACTCTCCGCTATACCTTCCGTTCGGGAACGCGATTGATTGGTTGTGCTTCATTTAATTATTACAGGAGATTTATACATTGTAGGAAAATATAGTGCAGGACTTTTCGACTCCTGTTTCAACAAGGATAGCGCTGTATAAACCATGACTATCAGTTCTGTTACACCCTGTATACATTTTCAGTGCACGTCTAGAGTATTTATAAAGCGTAGATCGTGCATCTCCAACGTGAAATATTCACCTAATCCTGTAAGGTTAGGTCCCGGGTTAGGTTAGATTAGTTTCTGCGAGAGCGCTAGGGGGGTGCCAGGGTTGGTAATTTCATGATTTTCGAGGTTTTTAACGTATATTACGTAAATCAAGTAGTTTACCGGAGAAAACGTATAAAATATGGCGGACAAGACAGACGTAGGGTATACGGTATCCGATAGGTTATAAACATCCATCTTGTCCATTTGTTTCATCCCATGAAAAAAATTATCTAAACCAGAAACCAGGGTTCAATATTGCGTTTGGACCATACCGCCAGCATCTGCGCACCGTGTCCACTAGTTCGTGACCAGGGGGCTAACACTCCTTATAGGAGAGGTGTAACACTGAAGTTAGTTCACCTACTCCAAGCAAAGACTGCGCTGGTGTCGTGACTTTTCAGTCTAATAGAAAGAGAACAACAGAGAAAAAAATATTCTAACCAATAGCAAGAGATTCCAGGAGACGCAGCGTCGATGCGCATAAAAATAGTCGGGACAAGTGAACCAAAGTGAATCTAACCTCGATTAGTGGCAATATTTCTACAAGTTTCGATTAACTCGGGTATTAAATCGCGAACGCGAGTTTGTGAATAAAAGTGTAAATCAAGAACAATTTGTAGTTACTTACTATAATAATTGTAATAATTAAATGTATTAAATGCGATCTATAGATCTATAGATTGCATTTAATCCATGAAACTAATTCTAACAAAAATTAAATTTGTATAGAATTTGTATAACGAAAAATATTTATACGTTCATAATGATTAATATTTTTATCTTAATAAATATTTTACTTTTTAACTAATGTTTAATGTAATTATTTCAGTTATTATAGTGATTTAAAACAGGCGGTGCGCCACTGACACTTTTGTTACTTCTTTTATGTTTAATATACTGTTTTCATGTTACATTTGTGTGTGTCAGTTTAAGCAACGTCTGTTTTAATCATTGTAAGTACTTTTTAAATCCTGAAAATATCCCTTCGTTTAGTAAATGAATTTGAATAGCCCGCCAAATAATTTAGTTCGCGAAAAAGGTTTACTCCAACCGAAGATGGCGGTAGTGCATAAGCGTTACACCCCAATTAGAGTTCTAAATCCAGTAAGTTACGTCAGAAACGAAGAGAAATTCCCGGTAACTTATCGGTAATTTCTCCAAAGCCTTTTTTATCGAGAAATTATGAGAATTTGAATTTTTCAACAGATCGAACGAGAGGTTTCGATTAGCTATAGAGAAACATCGTAGAGGGGAATTTCCGTTGTACGTTCTCCGTAGCCAATCAAAACCTCCCATTCACTTCGTCGCAGAATGAAATATTAGTTCGTTTGAAACAAATCGCATGGAATTTTCCGTGAAGTTGTAGATACGTGAATATTTTTAGCTGGAGGTAAATACGACCCTATAATCAATATTTTCTAATAGTAATTATTACTCTATAGCTTGAACTTTGAAATTGATTAAAAAAAAAAAGTTATTTAAACGAAAAAACCTAAAGTATAAATAACAAAATTAACGTTCCCTTAAATTCTCAATGTTCCCGGTAACTTACGGTATGTTTCACAATTACCTTCTCCAATTTAATATTACCGAGAATTTTCGAATTCTAACTCCAATACATGGCAGTGTCACCCCCCTGTTCGTGACCAATAATGCCAGTGTCTAGTTGGGACTTACTCCCCTAGAGATCGTGACCACCTAACGGTGCATTTGGGAACTACGTGTACTTTCAGAGACGACATCCCACATGAAATTGGACCAAATCCGTCATGTTTGCCACGTCACATGTGGTTCCACGCTTAGACCATAAATATCTAGACCTCGCATAGTAGTAGAAGGGGTAAACTCGATACCATGTAGCCGACGACACTCGGATCCAATCAGATTTTAGATCGTGTATATATATGTAGACCGCTTTGCAGTGTGAGTGGTAAGCGAATGAACCACATGAGCCGGCACTCACCCACACAGTTAAAGCTATTCTGCTTAATGAAAATCTGGGAGTGGGAGGTCCAATGGAGGTCCAGATATATATGGTCTAAGGTTCCACGCTGTCGGACATACATCTTTGACGTGTTCTTCAGGGGAGCGTGCAATGCATGAAGATGACAAACAAATTTACATCTACGTGTGTGCCCCCACTATATGACCACTCGCGCCCTGTCACGTACTAACCCATTACGGTATTTAATGTCCGTGATATGTTTTCAAAGCTGTAGTATTTTCAGTTTTCAATGTCGAGCGGCGCGATAACGATTAATTTACAAATCCGCGGAACGCTGTCTCTTATTTAAAAAGCAAAGTCAGTGGAATAGTTCCTGAGTAGGGTAGTAGACAGTTTATAAATGGCGGGGCGAGCTAATCGATTTCATTTCAAAGTGATTCATTTGCGGGAATTTATACCCAAGAAGTTTGCATTGCTTACATCATTAAGGTGAAGTGAAACACATCGAGGAACTTGGTTGACGTCGATAAAGAAGATTTTTCTAAATGCCTATGTTGCCGACGGTCGTTTTTATATTGACAGCTGTGTCGAGTTATATTGGATATTGTATCAAATGGCATACTCCACTTGTCGTTTTCCTATAATAAATATCAAGAAATTGAAGTAAAACTTCAGAAATCCTCTGGATTCGTGCTTTCTGGGACCCTAATTAACTGCAGAGGGACACCCTGCGCCATCTGTGATTTCCAAGTAAATTAAATTTTCACCCCGAGACCTCGTATTCCCATCGCTTTAGCATAGAAGCGCATACAACACTTTTTTTGCCTTTATCCCGTTCAAATGCGAGTTTATCGATTACCAGACTGTTCTAAATAGTCGTAAAATTGTCCTGACCCTTTCGTTTCTCATGTCAGAGCCTTCGATAATTGTATATCGATCGAAATATGAAAGCTCGACGCCATTTTGGTTTTGGTCTGGGCTACGTTAAAACATTTTTTCGAAAAATCCAAATTTTGAATGTGTCAGGACAATTCTTAGATGATCAGGAGTGATGTGTCAAAGTTTCGGACAGTTTGGTCCAATACCCTTAAAAAAAAGTGTTGTATTCGAATCGACTTATTTGAAGGGGGTTTCACTTCACCTTAATATGATAAATTCTGAGAAATATATGAATGTAAAGTTCTGTTGGACCGGCTTAATTTTTTTAATCGATACCGGAGGTAGGTCCGTTTTTCGAGATGTGTATCGATTCCCTGCGTTCGATTACTGAACTCAATCCGATGAAAAGAAAAACTCTGCACATCTCGCTGCCGAAATCCAATGCACTTTGAGTTTTTCCACGCGCACCGGTGGATGCGTCACGTACTCCTATGCAAATATGAATGGTCACTGGACGAAAACCTTCTTTTTTTCTTCGCTGCTCACCTGTGCTTCCTCTTTCGACGAGTAGGACATTTTGTTCTTTATGAATCATTCATAACTGCGGTCGGAAATTTTTCGCAGAATTCCTCCCTCTTACCTTTCGTCTCGTTTTCGACGACCTCTAACAGTCGATCTATGTAAATCTTTTTCAAAACGTAAGACGTTATATCGCTCGACTTTTTCCTTCTCTTTTCGCTCGTCTTCTCGAATTGCGTATGCGAATCTTGTCTCATGCATCATGCAGGGCAGCAATGCGCTTCACCGAGCTTCCCCAAATTCGTTTTTTTCTTTTTTTTTATCATGACGACCTCTTGACGTTCGTTAAAATCACGCTGAACTTTTGGCAATTCCCTTGCTTACTTCCTGTATCTCAGTCTACGGTAATTCTAAGGTTTGTATAGAGGCGCCAAAGTGGCAAAATCACGCGGACGCCGTTAACTCTAAAAACGTCCCTCATATAAAAATGCTCCAAGACATTAAATGAAAAAAAAAACACAACAGCGGCAATTCAAGAAATTAATTTGAAATAAATGTTAGGGGGACCCATAAGTGAGCCGCTTAGTGCACACATCGACTAACTCCACTTTTTGAAAAATCTTAAATTTAGGTGTCAAAGCACTTGGTATAGTCATAACTTTTATATTTATATTATCTTTCCTGATTAATAGAGATTAACACCATTAAACGGCAAAATTTTGTTGGGCATTGAATAATAAGTAATTTATTTCAGAAGCCATTTTGATTAACTCCATACTGTAATGTAAATCGTAGACGAATACCTGGCAGTATAGTATTATTGGATTATCTGTTGCGGCCGTACATCGACGCTTTTTTTTTTAAACAGCCGAAGATGCTTTCCCCCTTTCATCAATATGAGTAATAAAATCGCATCAG